TAGGGTGGTGGGGGATGATAAAGAAGGGCGATATGCATACGAAGCTTCAACACCGATTAAGGATCTGCCCTTTGACCCAATAGAATGGCAGTGGCCAGGACATAAGCCAATGAGCTTGTGGGACTACACAGTCAAAAACACATACAGAGCCCTCAACCCGGAACAATAGGTCAACTGCATACTATCTGAAAGATGGGCTCGTGATTCTCCGCTGGACTCGGACCTGATGAAAGACATTCCATGACCCAAATATGCAAGAATCATGCCAACCAATCTGAGGTCGCTGCAGTGGCAGATCATCCACAGGTGTCTTCCGACACTGGATTGGCTTGTGTCCAGAACGAACTTGGGACAACAAGGCCAGTAGTCCCCAATCTGCTCTTACTGTGGGAGATCGTCGCAACCTGCCCGTGCGACACTTGAGCACTGCTTGCTGGCCTACGGGATGGTCACCCAACTGTGGCAGTGGTGGGACGCGGCCTTCTACTCCTTGACATCCATCCACATTCCATGGGATCTGGGCCTTCTATTGCTGGACAAGAACCAACATCTGCTGGCCCAATGGTCTTCGTTCGCAGCTAATCTGTTCGCCTACATAAGGCTGCATGTCCTCATGCTCGATTGGCGAGCGCGATGCTCCTTCCAGCGGAGAGACCACCGATTTGGACTGCTACAGGCTCAACAAGTTCTGGAAAAAGTAATCAGGACCGCAACCCAAGAAGCATGGAGGACGATGAGAAGAGATCATAGGGAAGAAAAAGAGCCCCGGGCCAAGGAATCCATCCTGCACACATACAGAGTACTGTGGCAAGACCCCTCCAAGCTAGTCAGTGAACTGAATGTTGATCTGAACATCCATTTAAAACCATGGAGGTCCACGGAACGGTCGTGGCAGAGGAGACCCAGGGCACACACATACATACACACACACACACACACACACACACACACACACACACACACACACACACACACACACACACACGCACGCGCACACGTACGTATTTGTATTTTATTTTATTTTTTGAACGATTGCTCATTTTTTGATTGGTTGCATGGGGCTCGCCACCTTCCTGCACACACACAGACATATACACACACATACACATACACACAACCTCATTTTTTTAATAATATTAATAATTAATAAAATTAATAATAAATAATAATTAATTATTAATAATAATCATTAGAATTAAAAATTAAAATAAATAATAATTAAGAAATAAAAAGTAAATTTAAATAATAATAATAATAATAAAATAACAGGTTTTGATTTATGATTTTTAAATAATATAAAATATAATATATAAAAAAATATAAAATTAGAAATAATAAATAAATAAATAATAAAAATAAAATAATAAAATTATAATAAAATCATAAATTTATAATAATAAAAATAAAATAAAAATTAAAAATTAAAAAAAAATAAAGCAATAAAATAATAAGTAAATAAAGTTAATAACTAGGCTACCATAGTGGCCCGGGGTTACTTGCCGAAAACTTCTCCCTTCTTCATGCCCACGCTTTACCACATTCCCACCTCCATCGTTAACTCGTCTGTGTTTGCATCAGAGCTAACGTTGTCGGACCCGAAAAAGACCAAAGGCTTAGCACTCTTTCCTTTTATGGTCCTCCTATCGCCTAACAGGTAACTACCCGAACACCCATTCTAAGTTCGAACTTCAAAAGTCCCAATTCGAAAAGTCGCAAAAGGTCTCAAAAAATCGGTCCACACCAGTTCAAGGTACCTGCATTTATTCAGGTTTCGGCAGACGGGCACCAGACCCTCTGCTAAATCCACGGCCTCTCTCGCGGAAAACAAAAGGAAAAAGTGTAGAAAAGCAAAAAATCACAAAACAGAGAAAAATCCAAAGGCTACTCACTAAAGGACCCCAAAGCTGTAGTTGCAGAAAAAACATCAACTCTCCAAAATTCAGACAGCTACTCACCCACGGCCACACTCTACAGATCCAAACACACTCAACGGGGCTACCGTTTATCGCCCTGTCCCAGTATTTGTGATTCCCCTGTCCCAGCAGCCTAGATTAGAAGCAACCTAAATTATGGCGACAGGCAAACCGAAACCACAATCAGAACACCAAACGGGTTTTTCGACAAAAAACGAGAGTCAAAACAAAAACTGAAACACACAGCACAAAAAAACTGAAATAAAGTCCCACCACTAGCAGACATTGACCGATCAGGGGTACAACCATCACCAGATCCTGGTCCAAATTTCGTCCCGACCACATGCAAAGCTTCTTAGCACCCTGTCAAGGAAATCCTTGGGGAAATCCCTCAGACGAAGTTCCCTTGATAGAGTCAGCACCTTCATCGAAATCTCGCTGCGTATGGTAGTGTTCTTGTCGATTCGGTGGAGGTAACTGGCAACAACAGCGCTCTTCTGCATCTTGCTTCCCCAAGAGTAATATGATTGTCCGTTCTTAAACTCCAGATTTTCCTCGGACCAAATAGCCTTCTCGTTCTTATACTGCTGTACACAGCCAATACGCAATCAGGACTGATCGAGATCCATCCGAAGCCCCAAAAACTCCCACTGGTCAGCTCCATTGTCAGTACGTTTGAGCGTCAAATTCTTGGGGTAGCAGTTTTCAAATTCTCCACGAATACTCTCCACCAGCTCACCACTCTTTTGATTCTTCAGAACTACTAAACTCACGTCATCCACCAATCTCAGTCCAAAAACATAGGGTCTCAAATTCCCCAACTCGTTAAGAAACCGAAATTCTGCATATGCACAAAGGATACATGCAAGTGGGGGGCTGGTGCTTTTCCCCATTGGGATTCCCACCACTTGCTTCAGCAGTACACCTGTGGCTCTGGTGTACGTGTGTTGCAAGTCGAGCTTAACAAAAGCTCTGATAGTTTTCAATTCCACCTTTCTCCAATGGTCCTCCCCGGTGGTCAAACCAAACGTAGTGCCCCTACCTCTAGGGTTAACTCGGATGTAGTGCCGACCTTTCCCTTCATGATAATCAAGCAGCCAGTTAGTAGCAGTCATGATGTCCTCGTGCGGGAGCTTACTAAACATGTCTTTAATGTCAAAAGCCATTGAGACAAGTTCAGCGCCCGCCTTCGCCATCTTTGCAATTCTTCGATTAAGAGACTCGAGTCGTGGAGCCAAGTCGTTGACTGACCTGAGGTTAAAGTACCAATCCTGAGGGAGCATGAAAAGTAGGTGGTTAAGGGTTTTCGCCACGCATCTCCCAGCTCTCACTGTTGGTTCAGAGAACGTAGGGCATATCGGTCGGTATCTATATATGTCCTTGTGCTTTGGGAGAGCATAAACATCGCTCATTCTCCCCTTGCTGTTCCAACCACCAAATCGTTGTAGGCCCACTTTCTTCAAATCCATCCTCATGGTATTCAGTACTTCAGCTTCCGATCTGACTTCCACAGTGTACCCGGGACTCCGGATAAACAAACTCAACATGGCATCATAGTAGACAAAAGGGCACAGTACTAACGTTTCACCCGAATTACGGTCAAGTGGCGTCAGCACATATCCATCCAAACGCCTTTTTACCGTTTCCACATCAGACAATTTCAAACAACACTTCACAGGTTCAGGGTTACGAATCAAGCAATGATCAACTTCCTCGCGGTTAAATTTAAACGCATTCCCTCGACAATTACTCCAGCGGTTGAAGGCCTCAGACAACTCCTTCGACAACAAAAAAACCCTTTCGCCAACTGCGGGTCTAAGAATGTTGTTAGCATTCCAGATCTGCGGGTGAACATCTTCCAATTCCTGTAATCTAAACTCCACGTGTCCTCCTATCTTCGGATAGAGAGCATCTGCACAAATGCAGATCGACACATCAGCGCGGGCAAAGCAACGCTGATTATGCAAGATGCTCGCTACCGACGGGTTTTTAACCCATACGATGCGAACAGAGCTACGCGCCAAGTTTTTAATACAGGCACGCAAGTCCAATTCCAACAATCTGTCGTTAATCAGTTTTCGTATCTCAACCAGTTTTATCCTGTCATCGAATTTAAGCTCGACTACCAAACGACCGTTTAGGTGCCAACCATATACATCATTCGCGATCCGAGTAATCAACCTACGTAAGTACACCGTGGTTGACTGCTTCTCAAAATCATTTGTTGCGCCCAAAATTCTTACCAAAACCTCCAAACTACGTTCACCCAGGAATTTAAGTCTGCGGGGATTACGTGATAGTGAGATATGCAACTTTTTATCTATGCTCAGTCTAGGTTTCCATCTACGTAAATAGATGAATTCCACCTCTCCGCCTTCTTCCAAATTGCGTTTGCATGCATGAAGCTTCGCCCGATGTCCATTAATTCTGACGATACTATTACCGAAAGCCTTACGGATCGGTTTCCAACCTCCACACCATGCATTACCTGGAAGTACGGACAATCGAAATTTCAGAGTACCACCTTCTTGCTGTCGGCATAACAATTCAAGAATGCTCACCGTTCATTCCTCCGTATCTCCTAAACGCGCTCTCACAGGCTGAATTCCTATCGGTTCCTTGCATTTCTCAGTTAGCTTGTTACCTCGCCTCCTCTCATTCTTTCATATCCTCTTACGTCCCCCTCTCTGCTTCTTCTTTGGTAGTTTACCTGTAGTGTTAAGTACCGGAGACCATCGCAAAATAAACAGCCTTTCCACATTTGGCAACTCCTCCGCTTTACAAGTTTCGACCGGTAAAAGTAAATATGACTCATGACCAAAAACTCTCCACCAACGATACAGATGGTTGCGTTTTCAGCCCTGGCTACATACTGAAACATGTTCTTTCCAACGTACCTTGCCATTCCTGGAAGTCTGGACTACATATTGAGCTCTACAAACCGGCGACGTGAGGACATAGACGCAGCTAGGTATACTAGTGAAAATAGCAATTCCTGACAGACTGTACAGTCTAACCCAAGAGTCAACACATTTTTTCAACCAGCGGATTTGGTCATTCAATGCCAATAAGATTACAACAAATCGATACAAAATATCAAGTTCATTGTCGTTCAATCCCTTAACCCCGAGATCAATTATGCAGTGACAGATCGCTCATAATTCCTTATTTGTCCATCCTCGTCATTTCTCACCTGTAGCAGCGTCGTCATCAGTGGTCGCCGTTTGGTCTTCTTCATACGTAGTTTTTGTATTCACCTCCTCGGGAGCTTCGTCGTCCGCTGATCCGTAAGCCTCATGCGTTCTCTTTTCAGTGATAGCCAGGATGGTGTTTATTTTCTTCAATCCTTCATACGCCACGTTTTCATCTCGGCAGATCTTCTTCAGATCCTCCACGGTCAGTTCTCCCAACTCTCAGAGGTTATCTTTCATATACCGAACTCGGCCCATGGGGCCGATAGTAGCCGGTATCTTCCTCACCTTCTTCGTCGAGGTCTTTCTCAGAGTTTTCCTCGTTGGCGAGTTCTTCATAGGGATCGGTTTACAGCCCAGCAGCCGTCCCGTGGTTCTTGCATAACTCCCTCCTGGCTTCTTCAAGGTGCGTTTGGCAGGCGATTCCATTGGCGGGCTGTCGCCAATCGCTTTCTCAGGTCCACGTCGTCTCTTCCCTCCAATAGTTAGGTGTCCGGTCTTCTCACTAAGAGCTTCAACTTCACTCTCGGATGACTCGTACTCATCATCGGATGATTGTCCAGTGTTGGGCGATTGCTTTTTAGCCTTTCCCTTAAGCTTGACTAGCTCCTCCAGGCGTCTGTCCATATGGTACTTGAGCTCTTCTCGCAAACCACCCATGTGCACCGATACTGTCGAGATCACCTCTTTTTTCATCTGTTCCTTTTGTTCCGCCAACCTCATCGTTTTCGTCTTCTTCTCGTTTTCACGACGTTCAGCCTCAAGCTTTTTCATCATTTCCAAACGTTCCGCCTCCGCTTTTGCTTCCTCCTCATGCTTCCTACGCTCCGCCTTTTCCTGTTTTCGCCTCTCCTTCTCCTCCCTTCTTGCGTTCTCCCTTTCGACGAATTCTTTCAACATAGCGACGGTACTTGATAGATCCTCAAATTGCTTCTTTAGTACAGGTTCATCACAAGTCGGTCTCCTATCTGGATGTCTTGGATAGTTCCTTGGTGATGTCGATCGATTCCGTGATGGAAATCGGGAACTGCCCTCACCACTAAGTCGCGGACATTGATTGCGATAGTGCCCGGGCTCTCCGCACTCGTAGCAAACGGGAACAAAACGTCTTGGTGCCTCTCTTGAGGATGCTCGGTGCTCCCTACCGTACTCCGGTCTTTGGTCCAATCTATCATCACGTCCTCTGTCTTGATCTTCATTGCGGATAGCTTCTCCGCGTCGGTCTCGATCTCCATCCCGTCCATATTCTCGATAACTTCCTGACATGATGCTGGTTCACCTCCCAGCGCATCTTGATACCTCCTTTCACAATCAAACTTCAGTAACAGATCGATAGTAACCAGGAAACAACTCTACATGCTCACACACACTCAACAAACTTTCCAAGTGGGTTCACATGGGCATTAGCAGGTTGACTGACAAGTGGGAGACAACTCAACAGATTATCATCAAAGGATGATAGCCAGACAATGACAAAACCAAGTAGTCGTAGTACATTCGAGTACAGAAAAGAAAGTTGAGTTGCAAAGCCGGTGGGTATGGCTACCCCGACCGGTTTCGACTGCCGCCACGCAGTCTCATCAGGGGGCTAACCGCCGAAAACTTCTCCCTTCTTCATGCCCACGCTTTACCACATTCCCACCTCCATCGTTGACCCGTCTGCGTTTGCATCCGAGCTAACGTTGTGGGACCCGAAAAAGACCAAAGGCTTAGCACTCTTTCCTTTTATGGTCCTCCTATCGCCTAACAGGTAACTACCCGAACACCAATTCTAAGTTCGAACTTCAAAAGTCCCAATTCGAAAAGTCACAAAAGGTCCCAAAAAATCGGTCCACACCAGTTCAAGGTACCTGCAGTTATTCAGGTTTCGACAAAAGGGCATCAGACCCTCTGCTAAATCCACGGCCTCGCTCGCGGAAAACAAAAGGAAAAAGTGTAGAAAAGCAAAAAATCACAAAACAGAGAAAAATCCGAAAGCTACTCACTAAAGGACCCCAAAGCTGCAGTTACAGAGAAAAACATCAACTCTCCAAAATTCAGACAGCTACTCACCCACGGCCACACTCTACAGATCAAAACACACTCAATGAGGCTACCGTTTATCGCCCTGTCCCAGCATAACATAGTATTTTTTTAGATTTTTTGGATTTTGTTTTTTTTGCAGGGACCTTCCCTTGTCCTTGCACAGGTTGGTAACCCGGAGCCCGGGCGGCCCGACCGGTAGCCTAAGTTAATAATTAAATCAATAATTTATAAAAATAAAATACAAAATACAAAATACAAAATACAAAATACAAAAATGATTTTTCTAAATTTATCGTCTTCCCTTCACAAATTGAATAAGCCTATTATTATGCTCGTTAGAATGATGATATCCTTATCCGATGGTAATTTGGAAACTCAACTTAAAAACTGCTACAGTTAGATATACTAACTTCTACACAAAACATAAAAATTATGTGACTCAAATTGAATGGATAAAAATTTAATTCCTTTTACAAGTTGGTCATTTTACCTTCACAAATTGAATAAGTCTAGCCCAAAATCATGCTCGCCAGAATGATGATATCCTTAGCTGATGGTGCCTCAAAAACTCAACTAAAGAACTTCTACAATACAAAAAAAAAAAACGATACCCATACACTAACTTTTACAAAATAAAAATTATAAGACTCACATACAGACACAGTTACGTGCACAAATACAAAAAATAAAAAAACTAGCTCAATCCGAAAAAAAAAAACGAAAAACGAAAAAAAACGAAAAAAACGAGGGAAAAAAAAAGAAAAAAAAACATATAACGACAAAGTAAAGATATACAAACGACAATATTTTTCTCAAGAGTACCCTGCAGAAAATTTCAGAAAAAAAAAAAAACTCATGATAGACCTCTAAGTAGAATGGCACGAAAGATAAGGACAAACTACATCACGAAAAAAAATGTTTTAGCACAAGCAGTATAAACCCACTTTAAAACGACTAATTAGACAGCGACCGCTCTCACTACTTCATAAGCATACTGCAAAAAAACATGCATATGGTGACAGACTGACATACACAAATGACGAGACTTTTTCAGGTACACCCCGAAGAGAAGGTTTTAGAAAAACAAAAACTCGTGATACATTTCCAATGAGATTGACACGTAGAATCGGGACAAAATACATCACGAAAAATACGTCGTAACATGAGCACTACAAAGCCAATAAAACGACTAATTAGAATACGATCGCTCCTACTACTACTTATTTTCTGAACTATGCACAAAGTCTTGTTATGCGCGTTGTAACCCATACATTCGTATGAACCCCTCGACTACAGAAGCCATGACTGAACACGTTATTTTCTCTCCTCAACCTAAAATGACAGAACCCCCATTCCTTCAAAATCATATTAAATCAAACCCCTCCCATAAACATACCCAAAATACGCCTTGCTTACCACCCCTTCCATTTCCTTATTTCCAAGTTAGACCCACACGCAACTATATACAATGGTGCTAGCTTTCATTGCTATCTACCGCAACCCGATCGACGCTACCGGACTTGCCTGCAATTGTTGCGCACTCCTACAGCCACGAACCACGCGATCTGCAATGATCCCACCTCATTCCCCTCGCCTACGGTCGTATGTCGAGTAAGCACGAACTACCTAATGCTCACGGACCTACAACGTCATCGCTAACGAACTCTCTAATTCCCTTCTGTCATCGTTGCGCTCCATTGCGTTCAACGAGTGGCCTAACACACAAAGGGAGAATGACGTCCGTTGAAGAGATCTCGTCTTCACATGCATTCCGCTCACAGGTATGGGTTCACTCGAACATACCCCTAACCTTCTCCAAGCCCCCTCTTCCCTCACCTCCCCCTGACCTCCGTGACCTATAAACTAACGTGGAGCTACATCCCTCTTACGTGCTGCTATGGGTGCTAAGCGGCGAAAAGAGCACTTAAGGGCGTGCACCCCCTCTATGGTTGTCTCCGACATCCATCTCTAACACAACCTAACCTCTAATATGCTCCCCCCTGATTAATCCTTCATGCATCCTCCTATGGAGTCGATGACCATACTAAAAATTTTGTTATAACCCATGCTATGTTAAGCCTGCTGCTAACCTGGTGCGATGCCGCGTTTGAAAAAATGGATGGTCTGGTTCCCCATTGAATATGGGGCAGCCATGTCTTACACACCCACTACATACATTCCAGGATATATTACCCTGTTGCTAAGCAGGGGTCGATTCCCTTGCTGACCGACCTTACATATGATCCGACGCATTTTTGCAATCCTAACCCATCTACAGAATAACATACTAACATTTTCTCTCCACACCCTCTCCACACCCCCTCCACACCCTCCCTCCGCCCCCCTCCGCCCATTCCCCCTCCCCTCACCCTTCACCCCATATATATATACAACGCAAACCACTATGCGCTAATACATATACATCGATACATATAAATTCATATTACTAGTACTTATAACTAAAAAGAACACATATATGCTCTTTAATCCCGCGTACGTGTTGGAATTAATTTGCCCTAGGCTTAACACCTATTTTTTATTCCCCTATCCCCTACAAATCTATTGTTAACAAAAAAAAACGCATTACCGCTAAAACTTCCCATACCCCCGACCGCTAATACATTAAATTCCCCTTCATTATAATTCCAACCATTTTTTGGCTTCAAACTTATGTGGTGTTATACATATTTGAAGTCATTTTTTTTTTCCCCATTTTTGCAAAGAATAACACACATGTTCCCTACTTATGCTACACCTTGCCAAATACTATATTTAACCTTATGAACTATGCGTAAGAAACCATGACAATAGTAGTAGACACTAAGATCATTTGATGCTTGGTGGTTTTTTCTAAGTAAAATATATGAATATTTGAGTACTTTGAAAAAATTCATTACTTTTAATAATCGATACACAAATACCCTAAGAAAAATAGAATAAAATTTCCAGACACACGTATAATATTGATTTATACATGGTTATGTTGACTACTTATTGCCCCATATGTACGCCGCATGCTTATGAAAAACATATGGTGATAAAACGAAACACAATTTCTTGTTCTGATCACGAGACCAATGATAGGTTGCTTACCGCCCCAACATAAATTGTACATACCTCATGGTATCAAACACGTTTGAAAAACAGATCGATATTCATTCGTTCCTTGTATTTTATGTAGATAATCTATTTTTTTACGCAATAAGGTGTGCTGCTGTACGCCGCTGTTTTGATATGATAGACCTAATTAAAATCGAATTTTTTTATTTTATAAAAACACTAATACGATATTATCGCACCAAATGACTATGCTCATTGGATAATAAGAGATAATGACTGAATTATATAATTCATACTAAAATGTCTACGTTTGTCTCATCAAGATCATATTGTTTTTCAAAGATTTTATTCTTATGCTTTTGTCGTTGTTTATGCAACTATAATACATAACAGGTAAATCCCTCGGTGGTCGGGCGAAGCTAATTAAATTTGTTTTGCTTGTCTATGAGCACTGTAAAAATAAATGAAATTATTATAATAATTCACAAAACATTCAGATTTTTGTTCCCGTCGTTCCTCAACATGTAATCGATATACATATTGCAATATACGGAAGGGTAGCGGTCTCACCCATTCGCTTGTTCTCTACAGATCAGCAAATAAACAACTAATGATCGATTGGCATGTACTAAGATGCATCCGATCCCTATTATACAAGAAGTTACCTTATCTACCCGTGATCGTCTAATGAGAAAAAGATGCTAGGATCATTTGATACTTCGACCTCATTATTACCACTATCTATATTGGAACGAATTATTGATCATTAGCGTAGACTCCAAGGAATTATACAAAAATACTCGGAAATCCTATGGCTTATCAACCATTTCATTATGACCCAATGAAAGTGTTCCAAATAGTGCATAATAATTATACACAATAAAATCCTTACAGCTTAAGAGAAACAAAAATAAAAATCATTCAAGGTTTTTATAAATGCCTATATTACTTCGTAATAAAATAATAATTCACATCTAAATACTAAACCAATTATACCTCATCTTACAAAAATATGCAGTGTGTGAAAGCCAAAAAACTAGCTTTGTTCGGATGGAGGACCTACCCCGCCGAAACCTCCATCACGAGGGTACGGGGAGAGACACACACGCACACACACACACACACACACACACACACACACACACAGACACACAGACACACACACACACACACACACACACACACACACACACACACACACACACACATACACACACACACATACA